CTTGAGCTACGGGCATTCACCGCATTGCAAATCTGAAAATTAGTGTGCTGCTTCTCGTACGATTACTCCGCCACATTTACTGAGTGGGAGTGGAAGCGATTGCTTTCAAAGTAAACATACTGTAAACCAACAGAGGTGTGTGAGGTTAATCCTGAGAGCTGAATTACACCTGAACTGTTCGAAGGCGACCATCCGCTGTTCGGCGTTTCACATTCCGACAGTTCTTTGCTGACAAATAAATGGGATGGCGTCCAGCGTCACACTTCCAGGTTTTTTTTTTTTTTTGAGAAAGCTGATTTTTGTGATGTGATGAAGTCTGCGGAAAACTGTTTTAGGCAAGACAAATTAGTGCCATTAAAAAGGAGAAGAGGAACGTCCAGAAACGGAATTTCCGACTTTCGGAATTCCACCAAAACTCTAATTTCAGATTTTCTGAAGCAAAATTCAGGTCTGAAATCCCTGCTAGCCGGTCTTGAATAGCCTTTGATCGAATATTATTAATCCCTGCCGGGTCTGGAAATTACATATCATCAAATATCAGTACGACCCATATCTGGAACAAACAGAGATTTCGCATATGTTAATGACTAGCTGCCAGGCCCAGCTGAATATTTGGTGATCTTCAGGAGTGTATCAAATGTTTATGAAACAATATCACTATTAAGCTTCACTGCTTAATGAGTAGTAAAGAATAATTTCAGCTGTGTCTGTTCATTTACCGATTCTTGTGAAGCGCATAATGCGAGGAGAACTGGCCGAAGACAGTCGCTACGAGAATCCTGATATTTTTGTGCCCAACAATCTTAAAGTGCTTTTCCGACCGCTCAGTGAACCCCGCCGCGAAAACAGTGTCTGCATTTGCATGGTTGCTTTGTTTAATCGAAAAACGTTGGAGGAAATAACATGTTCTCAATAGTAAAGTGTGGGTCACGGCGAAACACCAAAAAATACAAATTTCCCCCCCATTATGATTAGAGTTGTTACAGCGAAGGTGACAAAAAGGCAAAAGCCATCAGAGCCAACGTTCTGAGCAGAAATATACTTTGCAAGCATGCCGTGAAAAATGCGAAATGTTCGTTCAACTGCTCCACTGCCAAGTGAGTGGTCGGAGTAAAATATCGTCTAAGAATGTACGGAGGCTACAAAATTTCTGAAAAGATGAACTGGAGGAAGTTGAGGCATTATCGGAGATAAGTTGAGCTGAAACTCCATAGACGAGGAAGGAATGCGCCAAGACAGCATGAGTATGAGTGATGGAACGAGTAATGGCACTGGTACACTCATAATTGGTGAAAGAAACCCAGGCTGGAATGCATCAGCTTGACGGTGCGATCATGCGCTTTTGCACTAAACTCGCAGATCGCTAATAGCAGGAATGATCCCTGCGCTGCAGCCTAACACTTGGGCTCATATTTCAGTTCTTTGCTGAAAAGCGGGAATGTTGCTAGAGCGGTCGTTCGCTGCAAAATACGCTCATTTCTGAGTTTACGGTAAAGTTGAGTATTTCTCGTGACTATCTGCTGGGAATTTCACTTCCAAGTAGAGTTAAGACCGCACTTGAAAGTAGAATATCACAACGAACTTTCAGCCTCGCATCTTATCCGGTAGACGAAATAGCCACTTCGCTACAAATATCTTTGAAGTGTTCTAAGTCGTGGCACAAGCGAAAATCGAAACTCAATTTAGGTATACAATTTCCCATACGAGCGGTAAATATGTTAACAGAATTTCAGCTGCTGTCTTCCGACTACTTTTTGAATTAGCGCAGTACCAAGTGCAAACTTTGAGATGATCGCACGCGAAAAAAAAAATGTGTGTGACAGCTGAATTTGAAATCTTTAACTCGCACATACACATAGAATATTCCTGCAAATTTTCAGCTTTGTACCTTGCTTGGCTTGCGAAATCGTTTCCCGCCGAAGAAATCTGCACATTTTTTTCGGGGGGTTCGTACGCGGGGTCTATGAGCGAAAATTTTAAAATTGGAAGATGACACACGAGTAGAAACAATATTTCAGCCTTCCAGCCTTCCTTGTTGTTGAAATAAAAGTGGATGACAAAGTCCGCTCTCTTCCAAACACACACACAAAAGACTTCTCGACAATATGCGTTTTTGCTCGCTGTAGCAGCGCTATAGCGCTGCGCCGCAAAAGCGCATTAAAACGAACAATTTCCGTTTAGCAGTCGTTCTTTGGAAATGACCCAGTTATTCAGTGAGCAATTTTTCCGCCGGAACCCTTAAGCACCCGAACGCGAGGACCACGCATATCTGGAGGCAGAATTTGAAATCTTTAAATTTTACTTGTACAGGGAACATTCCCTAAAATTTCGGC